TGCTTCTGTGCTTTCAGCCCCTCGTGGGACGTGGATTTTGGGACAAGAGACACTGGATAAAGAGCAGTCAGTGGGCCAGAGCTGAATAGTGGGTGGGGAAGGGTGGGGGCTGGGGCGGAGGAATGGGGGGGCCAGGCTCCAGGGCTGCGTGGGACAGGAGTGGGGCCGGGGCTGCCCACGCCGGCTGGCCCTCCAGGGACTCTCAGCTACAGCCCGGCTGCACTCCGCCAGGAAGGGGGTGCTGGGCAGCGGAGGGGAGCCAGGGCTGCCAGGTCCCGCAGGCACCGTGGGATGCTGACGGGACGGCCCTTGGCAGGAGCTCGGCCTCTCCGCACACATCCCCCACCGGCGTTCCATGGGCCAAGCGAGCGGCTCCCGCAGCTCCAGCCACGCCGGCCCGGCAGGCTCACCGCGTAGGCAGCGGGGCCAGTGCGTGCCCGCTAGACTCGGGGCACTGGAGTGGTTTTGCTTCCCAAGTCCCCTTCCTCTGCCCGGGACGGGGCAGCTTCATCCCACCGGCAGCCACCTTGCAAAACGCCAGAGCTGCCCGCACGCAGCCACAGGAGCACGCTGCCTGCACCGCTGCCTGCACCGCTGCCTGCACCGCTGCCAGACCTGTGCCAAAGAGCCCCGTGTGCACACGCAGCCCCTGGCCTGGGCTGCGGGACGGGCACTGGGGGCCACATCCAGCCCCAGCAGACACACAGGAGCTGCTGTGACCCAGCAAGGCTGGGGCCTGGGGCCCTGCAGGGCAGCGCATCCTGGCTACGGGGATGAGCAGGAGGGCAGGGAGGGAGCCGTGCTGCCAGCCCTGCTACACGCACCGGGAGCCAGCGCAGGGGAGCTGCGGCATGTCTGCAACGAGGGGCTGAGACCCACAGGGAGGGATGCGGAGCCAGCTGGGTGGGAAGTGCCGGGCAGGGCTGACTCATCCAGAGAAGGTCCTGGGCTCGCAGAGGAGAGCCCTCCCCTGCCAGCAGCAGGCTGGCGCTTCCCCCACTGCCCGAAGGGATGCGGGACAAAAAGGGAGCTCAGGAGCATTGGGACAGAGCCGCCCGCCCGAGGGAGGGGGCCGGCTGAAGCAATTGTGCAACCCATGAAGGCAGGCGGAGGCCCCAGACCTCACCTTCCTCGCTCAGAGGCCACAGTCAGCTCCTCCAGAAATCACCCACCGCTATCTCAGGATCTCTTCTTGCACTACTGGGCTGCAACCACCCCAAGGACCCAGCCCGGGCAGCCACCCACAGCTGCACCAAGGCTTTAGGAACAAGACAACAAACTCGCAAGACACGTTTTTCTGTGTAAACAAGGACTTGGACCTTCCAGCAGCCACCCCAGGGTCAGGAGCCTGTTGGGAGACTTTGGACTTCACCAAAGCCCCTCCCCAGGGGCTCCAAGGAAAAGAGGGAGACCCGTGGCATGGCTCCCCCTGAGCACCTCCATGGGCAGGATCAGGCCCATCAAAAGCAACGAGCGGGAGACAGTGTTGTGGAGCCAACACCTTCACCACTGCCCTCAGCGACCTGCTGTTAGCATCCCACTGCCAGGCTGCAGAGACCTGCTCACAGACCACAGGTCTGGGTGCTCCCAGCTGGGAGCCCCTGGCAGCATCGCAGGAACGACGCGCAGGTGCCCACGCACTCTGCTTCAGCCAAGGACAAGCAGCCCGAGCGCACCAAGGTCGCACCGCACTCTGGTCCCGACTGACGCCCGGCCCCAGGCTCGCTGCGGGCACGTGCCCCAGAGCACGCCGAGGGCTATCGCAGCAAACCTCGGAGCCAGCTCCAGCGCTGGCACAGGCACGTGCGCGGAGGCCGGCGCAGGAGGGAGCAGCCCTGCCCTTGCTGCCCTTCCAGAGGGGAAGCTGCAAGCTGGCGGGCACTGAAAAAGCAGCGAGGCGCTCAGGACCAGCAGCTGGTCCCGGATCCACTTGTAGACCCCCAGAACAGGGCCTGGTGCCGGGAGCGCGGGGACCCTGGCGTGTTCCATAGCACGGGCAGCGGGAAGGCAAATGGAAAACAGCACGTGATGGGCAGGAGGGCCGGGAGCAGCAGTGTTGAGCGGGAAGCCTGGGCCCAGGCCAAGAGCTCCGTGCAGCGCCGAGGCACCGGCGGTGATGGGCGCAGTGCAGGGCAGAGAGGGGAGCCCGAGCCCGGGTGCCGGCGGCCTGCCCTGCCGCTGCAGAAGGGCACCGACAGCCTGGCAGGAATGGGGGATCTCGGGTCCCTGCACTCTCCGGGACCGGCTCCAGCCCAGGGGAGACGTCCCACACGACAGCCCCGGGCAGGGGGTGGCGAGCAGGGGGGCTCGGGGCCGGGCGGCGGGGAGGGGGCTGCCCACACCAGGGAAACTGGAGGGAGAAGAGAAACTGTACCCCTGCCGACACCCCCTCCCCGGGGTGGGGGGCTGCGGGAACAGGCAGGCTGCGGGCAGGACGCGGGCAGCCGCCTCCCACCCCCGGCAGCGCGGCCCCGCGGGCGGCCGTACCTGCAGCTCGCACCAGGCCACCTCCACGGTGGTCTCCGTGTCCAGCCCCTTGTAGACGGTCTTGAAGGAGCCGCGGCCGATCTCGATGTCGAACTTGAGGAACCGGCCGTCGGGGGAGGTGGCGACCGCGCGCGTCTCCACCTCCTCGCTCTCCGTCTCCTCCGGCTCCCGGCGCCCCGCGGCGCCCGACGGCGGCGGGGACCCCCCGCGCCCCCCGCCCGGCGCCGGGTACCCCAGCAGCTCCAGCTCGGCCGAGCTCCGTCGGTTGAAGCGGGAGGAGGCGCGGCGGGAGTCGCGCCCCGAGGGCCGCCGGCCGCGGCTGCGGTGCGGGGCCCGCCCGGGGAGCCCCGGCCCCGGCCCCGGCTCCGGCTCCGGCTCGGACGCGGAGCCGCCGCCCGCCCGCTCCGCCTCGGGCTGGGACATGGCCCCGGCGGCGGGGGGCTCGGCCGGCAGCATCGGCCCAGCCCGGCCCGGGGCGGCCGCTCCCGCGCAGCTTCGCACCCGGTGCCGCCGCGGCCCCGCAGCCAGAAGCGACCGCCGAGCCCCGGCCCGGGCACCGGCACCGGCACCGGCCCCGCCCGGCGGCCCCGCCCCCGCCCCGCCCGGGCCCGCCCCCGCGCGGCCGCCGCCCCCCGCCTGCGCTGCGCCACCGGCCCCGCCACCGGGCACCGGGCACCAGCCCCTCCGCTGGCCGCCGGCCCTGCCCCCGGCCCCCGACCCCACCACCGGCTACCGGGCACCGGGCACCGGCCCCGACCCCACCACCGGCCCCGCCACCGGGCACCGGGCACCAGCTACCGGGCACCAGCCACCAGCCCCCGGCCCCGACCCCACCACCGGCCCCGCCACCGGCTACCAGGCACCAGCTACCGGGCACCGGCCCCGCGCCGGGACGGGCGCCCAGCGCTGCGGTTGCGGGCACCGGCACCGCGCACGGCCTCGGCCCTGCTCGCCGGGGCGGGGGGCGGGGGGCATTCCCCCCCCCGCCCCCCGTTCTCCCCGCTCGGCCCTGACCGGGGGGGACTCTGTCCGGCTCCCATCCCGAGCGCCCCCGCCGTGGCGCTGACCCGGGGGCTCCGAGCCCTCCCGTCCCCGCCGGGCAGCCCCTTCCCCGGCCCAGAGGGGCTCGGCGTGCGGGGGTGCTGTAACCGAAGCCCCGGCTGGGTGACGCAGCCAAAGTCGTGCCACGGGAAAGCTCCTGATTGAGACATTTCCTCGGAGCTTCTGCCTCGGGGTCCCAGAGCCGCGTGTCCCGGAGAAGCCCCGTCCCGCTCCCCAGCTGCGGGGTCAGCCTCACGCTGACAGCACTGTCCCTGGCAGCCACTCCTCTCGGGGTTTACTTCGGTCTGAAATCCTGAAATTAGGGTCATGCAAATAGGAAGATACAACCGTGTGTGTCAGCCCTGTGTGAGCCAAAGGCCCGAACAAGAGCTTGTTGTCTCCCCAGGTTAAACCAGGAGGTTGTTCTACTCAGTGAAGTTGTTTACACAAAACACAAAGCAATTGAGGCTGGCGCTAATTTATTTTCCCTAAGGTCAGATTGTTTCTACTCAACGATACCGGAAACATTAAGGAGAGGATCCACACGGGAGCACAGCCACGTCCCCCCCCAACGCTGACCCAGCACACGCAGGGTGACCCCGAGCAATCTGGGATGGCCGGATCCTCAGCAGAGCTACAGACCCCCTGTCCGGCGGGAGGAGGGAGAAGCACTTAATGAAATGCTGCTCCTACAGAAGCCCTGGCTAGGCTGAGCGTCACGGTGCTGATCTCCCGCACAGGCAGGCCCTGCTCCCCCCACACGACCCTGCGTGTCCAGCCCTGCTCTCCGGGTACCACCTCCCCAGGAGCATCTTCCTGCCGCTCGCATGCAGCACGGGCCGGGGAGCAGAGAGCAGCAGCCGCATCCTCACGCAGCCCCGCGCTCCCCCGAGTGCACAGGGGGCACAGTCCTGGGGGAACAACCACTGGCTAAAGGACACGTGTCCAGTGCTGGCCCCCCCCCGGGTCCTGCCTGCAGGAGAGGCAGCCCCTCGCCCAGAGCACTGGCGTCTGTATCTGCCAGAGACAAAAGGCTGGGACAGATGGGCCGGCTGGTGTGGCAGACTCGTGTTGTAAGGTGCGGCATGGTTTGACCCGGCTCTTCCAAACAGCTGCTTTGTTTGGATGAACCCTGGCCCAGACCTGTCCGGAGCCTGCCTGCTTCTCACCAGATCCACTACCAGAAAGGGGTGCACCCCTGGTCCCCTCACAGCTGCCTCTGACGCTGCATCTCTCAGGCTTTCCCACTCCTGTTGAACTCTCTTCTCCAGCACCTCACAGGCTGCACAAAGTAAGGAGCCTTCCCAGGAGCTGGGCAATCACTGTCCCAGCCCGGGAGGGCAGGAGGAGATGGGCAAAGAGCCGTCTGTCCTCCAGGCCCCTGCAGCCTCTGCCTCTCCTCTGGAACCTGCCACAGGACACAAGGCTGCAGCTTTTACTCATGCAACATATGCCAGGTTTAAAAAACTCCCTGCTTAAAAAGTGGTTGCTTTTATTTTTATCCTGTGTTGACTACAGCTTCCAGCAGAGGTGGAGATTTCAGGCTTTCCCAGCTGAAAACCCTCAGTCTGATCCGCAGGACGGGCAGTGCCGTGTCTTGTTCTGCAGCTGCCGGAACAGAGGCAGATCCGGCAGCTCCGGCAGCGGTGGGGGCTGCGGAGGATCAATCCCAGCACCGGCCAGCGCATGCTGATGGCTTCCTAAATTAAACAGGACAACAGATCCGTCCTCAGAGGGAAAGGGTGCTGGGTGGGGTGGGAGCTCCCCCCGCCCCAGGACAGGCTGGCTCGGCTGTCCCCAGCCTGGGAAGCCCAACGAGAGAAAACCACTCCCGGCTCCTCACTCTCTCCGCACAGGACGGACCCAGCTTGTCCACGAAGGGGGCCCGAGGGCAGCCAGCCCCGAGTTGGGCAGGGAGAACGAACCCGCAGAGCTCCGAGCAGCAGCGGGGCTCCCGGCCACAGCCAAAACGCTGCCCAAGCCCCTGCGGGCCGGCTCGGCGGCCGCCGCCACCCAGGGTCCCTGCCAGGGGCCCCACTCTGCCCAGGCACGGGGACATGGCCCGGGCTGGCATGGAGCCCCAGCTCTTCAGCGAGAGACGCGGAGCCAGGCAGGGATCTCGGCTTGGTCCCTGGTAGGCTCATGTCCCCTTATCAAGTGTTTTCATCGTGAAACGAGATGCCTCAGAAGATCCCAGAGGAGCAAAGGAGTGTCCCGGTCCTGGTCCTGGTGAGGCCCCTGCAGATGGGAGAGGAAATTAGGGGTGAGGTTGGCTCAGGCTGCTGCCCTGCCACATACCCCTAGTAAACGGGCTCAGAAGTTCCCTGACTGCCCCCCCAGACGCCTCCCCACCCCACAAGCTTGGCAGGGGGAGGCAGCTCGGGCAGGGGTATGTGTCCCTTCCCGACCTGGGCTGGGGCACCAAGCTGGAGCCAGCTTGGCCCAAAATCAGACGTTCCTACTCCACAATCAGCCACCCATGGCAGCGCTCCGATGGTGCCCGCAGCTCCCCGACCGTTATCAGGGTGACATTTCTGGGCTGCGAGTGCCAGCGCCAGCCCTCTGCTTTGAGGAACCGCTGCAATCAGGCAACGTAACCCATTTCTCACTTGCATTTGGCTGCCAGGAAGAGAACAGGGGACTGTGTAATCACTCTCCTCAGGATTAGATCATTAATCAAAGCCCTGCTCGGCTCCTTGCTCCAGCAAGCCCTGCCAGGAATTGTCTGTTCTGATCCTGGAGCTTGGGGCAGGATCATGGAGGGGCCGGGGCCAGGTCCAAATGCAGGCGCCCCCCGCAGATGGGGGCTGCACAGCTTGGGCTGTGAGGCACGGGGAGCCCGTCCCGGGAAGGGTCAGAGTGGAGGAGGGCTCCGCAGCGACCCAGGGCTTGTTTCATGGTTGGCTTCAGCACCCTGTGCCCGCAGGAGCTCCCAGCCTCCTCCTGCCCTAACACACAAGAGTTCAGGTCAGAGGAGATGTCACCCAAACCTCAGTCGTGGCTTTAACCCCAGACAGATAACTTTGGAGGATTTCCTTAGCCCAGAGTTCCAGATGTAACCCACCTGCAAGTTTATCCCAGCATATAAATTTATCAAACTGAAACAACTCTTGTTCCTAACTAGCCACGTTAAATAAAAACCCTCTTGGTGTTTTTCCTTCCCTGACGAGCGGGACCTGAGTGTGCACAGCCTGATAGCACCTTATCTCAGCACCAAGCCCCCAAGCTCTGCCTCGCCCCGGCCAGCGAGCCCTAATCACCGTGGCCAGATGTGGCAACGGCCTCAGAGTGGCCACGGGCCCAAGGCAGGGGGCCTGTGCCAGCCCTCCCCCCCCAAAACACCACTTTCCCCAGCGAGACCCTCCACAGGGACAGGCCTGAACGCGCCTCTGGGTGCTGGAGCCCCAACCCTGCCCATCCTGGTGCGTCTGGGAGTGCAGAGAGGTTTGGGTTTGGTTTTTAAACACTCTGATGCCAACCCCCCCGTGAGGAGGGGTCGGCCGTGGTGCAGTGCCGGGCAATACAGCGCGGGCAGAGAAGCAGCAGGCGAGGGAGCTGCCCGGCCGGGTCTCACCATGCTCCTGCACAAACACGGGCTGCCCCTGCCCTCCGCTCTGCCCCGGGAGTGCCGGGACCAGACACCACTGCTCCTGTGCACGGGAATGGCACAGTTGGTGGCTGCCGTGCTCTCTCCCCACGAGCAGTCTAATTACGTCTCCTCCAACTCTACCCAGCGCCCGAGGGCTTCCACACCAGAGCAGCCTCACAGCATCTCTGCCCTGGCTCTGGTGTCCCAATCCCACGATTACATCATCAAACGCTATGAAGGGCTGAATAAAGAGAAGGAAGCCAGTTTCAGAGGACAATTAAAAGGTTCTGGTTTACCTGCCCACAGGAGCTTTCATCATCACGAGCTACAAACTGCCACCGTCCCTCACAGAGAGAACAGCCAGGGAGCATCTGCCCCCTCCAGGGCGGCAGCACCAGCCGGCAGCGGCTCTTCCAGCCCCGTCCCGTGGCCCGGGCAATCGCCGGCAGACAGCAGCGGCCGTGAGCACCTCGCTGCTGCGGCACTGCCGTGGTGCCTGGCACAGGGAGTCAGTCCCACAAGGACCTCACAGGCACGGCTGGATGCGACCTTTTGTAACCGGCCGAGAGGGTGCGGAAAAAGAATTTTACACCATGTCCATTCTGAAGGGGGAACATACTCTTCCTCCTCCTCTCACTAAGTAAGCAACTAAATAGGAAGCTGAAAAAGAGCAGTGAATCACTGCCAGGAGCGCCTTGGAAAGAAGACTGGTTTTAGGCTTATCTAATGTCACATCAGCCATTTCCTAAGAAGGGAGAAAATTTAATTAAGAACACAGACTCACTCAAGGACAGTCAGGTTACATACAGCACATGCAGCTTGGAACACAATGCTGAGAGGTCAGCATCACGCATACAGAGAGCAAGAAATACAAACATCCCGGGCCTGGCTGCTAAAGGCTCGTTATTCGGGATCAAATGCAGATGCCATCAGGCACAGAACAGCCGGCACGGACACACAGCTCGCTGCAGGGGTATGGGAACAGCAAGAGGGGAGGACACAGCAACCGGAGAGGGAAGGAGTCGACGTGGGTGGCGTGAAGAGGGAGGAAGAGGCAGATCTCAGACACTGAAACAATCCCAGGGCAGACACTGGTAGCGGACGATGGCTACACTGAGGCTTTCCTGACTGCAAACACAGGGGGAGGATCCCCGTCCAGGCAGCGAGCCCCGGTTTGAGCAGAGCCTGCGCCAGCCACGGGACACAGGTGCTGGCTGTGCCAGGACACGCCGCGGGGCTCCCGGCACGGCACAGGCTTTGCTTCTGCAAAGGTGGCTGCAGGGAGCTGGGCTGGAGCAGTCCCATGCCCCGGAGAGACAGTGCCCGGTGGCACCAAGAGAGCTCGTTGTGTCCCCGGCACTTCCATCCCCAAGGGCTGCCGCGTCCACCCGCTGCCCCCAAACCTCCCAGCTCGGGTGGGGACTCGGCCCGGGCTGCCACGGCAGGCGCAGGGCACGCGCGGCCAGCCCAGGCCGCTGCGGAACCGGCGGGAGGGCAGCAGGCATGCTCCCCGCGGGCTGCGCCATCCTGCGCTGCGTCACCTCGGCACCCGCGGGGACGTGAGGGTCCCCAGAAAGGAGCAGAGACACTAGCCCAGCGCGAGAGCTGCCGGGGCCTTCCTCCGGCGGAGGAGTGCCGGCGCGCGGGAACTGCTCCGCAGCACTTGTCACCGGCACAGAGAGGAACCCCGGGCACCAGCCTCCGGCCGCGGCTCTGGAGCGGCGTGCCCACACCAAGCCAGCACTCCCGCCAAGTTCAGATCAACGGGCTCCTGCTACAAAAGGGAAACTTTCACATTTCACAGCCCCACAAACTCAGCCTGGACTCCAGCATCTTCTCTACGCTGAAAATCACCGACCGTCGACGACAGCTGTCAGCAGCGCTGCAGCTGAACCAGCGCTGAGCTGTTCTCCAAGGGCAGGGCAGGCAGGACAAGCTGTTCAGCACTGGCTGGGGACAGACGGCTGAAGCGCCGTCTGCTCTGCTGGATCCCAGGAACCACCACTCTGGGTCTGACCGAAGGTGGTCCCCACGCAGCACCCCACCCCCGCCGGCAACAAGCACCCAGGGCTCGGGCAAAGAACGGGAAAGGCGAGCGTGATCCTTCCCTGGCACCGCTGTCCAGCTTCCCCTGGTCATCGAGGAAGGATTTATTGGGTCACTGTACCTGCATCGTGGCTTCTGACATGCCGAGTACTTCGTTATCAGCACTGAGAATCTAAAATCTTAAGTCATGCCCTCTACCAACCACTGCTGTACAGAGCAACACCTCTGCCACCAGCCCATTAGCTTTCGGTAGATTGCACGTGGAAAATTAAAGTAAATGTTGCCCTGAAGACAGGCAGCAAGGGCCCATGCAGTCCGTGACTCTGGTGTGTGGAAAAAAGCACTTGCGCAGCCCACTTCCCACTGGGGTGGGGTGGCTCAGCAGGGCCACCCTCTCCCCAGCGCGCTGCTGTGCTCATCTGGTGCTGTAAGGAAACGGCTGAAGGGCAGGAATCCGGTACACTGCTGTTTTGTTTCTAATAGAAAAGTAGAGATAGACGAAAACACCCAGGCTGCTCTATAAATACATGTCATTTTAATTACTTCAAATTAGTTCCTTGGCATCCACCCCCCACCCCGCTGTACAGCCTGCTTTGCAGCAAGCACACATCATTCTGCCACGGAGGTCTTCTACACCACAGCAGCGACAGCGAGTTCCCTGGGCTTGCTTTCTCCCTGCTTGGCAACACGGCAGGGACTGCAGAGCCCAGGCGCACGGCTGGCAGGAGGGAAGGAGGTGCCCTTCGAGGCCAAGCTCGGCCAGCCAGCTGGAGAGAATGCCCCGTGGCCTTCACAGGAACGTGGATCAGCAACAGGAGCAGTCCCATGATTTCACTTCTGGGTGGTCCCTCTCAGAACTGCCTAGAGCAGCATTAGCCTCTTAAACACAATCAACAGGGAGAAAAGACAGACAGAGGATCTCTGAATATTTCTAAGAAGTCATGTCTTTGTAAAGCTTTGCAGATTCTCCTTGCCCCAAGAAATCCCGAGTATGCAGCTGCTTGCAGTCACGGCTTGAATCCAGGCCAGGAGAGCAAACCTTCACAGCAAGAACCGCTTCAGCAGCCAGGGAAGAGGGGAGGGGGCTCCCATCAGAAGAACTTGACGCCTCGGCCATCGTCCAGCGTGATAATTTCAGCCTTGTGCTCTTGCTGCAAGGCTTGCAGGGCACGGAGCAGCATAGTCTCATCTAGGCCATGGAACTCTAGGGAGGGAAACAAACAGGCTTACAAAACCCAGGGACTGGCGGCAGGGAAGCAGAGGGCTCTGAAGAGCACCCTTCAGACTCCAGCATCATAACACTACTGCAAATCCAGAGTCACGGCTACGCTAACAGACTCATCACTACACTGCTCCATCAGGAACAAAGCCTGAAGGTCAACAGACAGAAGGGAATGAGTCACAGCAGTCTCAAAGGCAGCGCAGAAGCTAGCTGTAAAATCGAAACACCCCGGATAAAGAGCCGGGCACTAGGGAGGCTGGCGTGGTGGCGGGAGGCTTAAAATGCAAACAGCGATAACCAAGGGAGGTGCTTGTGCAAAGTGGTCAAAAAGCCTCCAGAGCAGCATTTGCCAGGGGCGATCAGTGTGAGCTTGCATAAAGCAATTTTAAAATATTTAATCTGCAAAACTATAATCTGACAATCAACCGTTTACATGCTCAAATCAAAGTGTGCTCTGGGAACCTGCTCCAGAACAGAACACGTGACATTACCCTCATTCTCTGTATCATCTCCACTGGCTAATTCATACAGCGTGAATACAGAGTTGGTCAAGCCGTTCTTCGACACCTGGAAACATAAAAGCAATATAGCAAATCTTGCCCCTGTGATTTAATGTCCTTGGCACGATCTCTCGTACATCTCAGTGCACATGAAATGGAACGCGGACAGCACTCGATGAGCAAAAATACCCTGGAAACACTCCAGGGCACTGAAGAGTCAAGAAATGATGGCTAAGGAAAGTAAGACGGTTCCTTTCCCTGCCCCTCTGCTCTTTCTGCCCGTGTGTTTCGTAACAGGGACTCATGCCCAACGCAGGCAACGCAGCAACACTGCTCTGTCCTCGCTACAGAACAGCCAGCTGCAGTGGGAGTGGACGACCGCATCCGCTGCTCAAACTGCATCCCACAGCCAGCAAAAAGCTGTTAACATCTCTACGTTTCTCTGCAACAGAGAGAAATGGAAGAAAGGTAAAAGCAGGGAGGAAGCATGAGAAAAATATTACAGCGGTCTTTTTCGCAAATCACAGCCAATACCAGCTGTCCTCCCGGACACAGAAAGCCTGGTCTGTGGGACGAGACAGCTTCTGCCTTCTCACCCACTGATAGATGAGCTTTCCCCATTCTTCTGGTCTCTTCCACATGATCAGAAAACTGGTTTTGTTCTTATCTAACCACTCCAGGTTCCCTAAAATCAACAGGGAAAGGTGTTTCATCAGAGCACAAGCCTACAGTACCGATCCATCCTGCAGACTTCACGACGCGCTCGACCTCGTGCCCCCAGGTACCCACCTCTCCCCTCCGTGCGACCGTGCTCCCCAACTCCCGAAATCCCTCTCCATGCACAGAACCCCCCTCTCCTTGGAGCCCCCCCGTCCTCCCGCAGCTCGGCCTGCGCCGGGCCAGCAGAGCCGTGGGCAGGGACGGCCCGTGGGGTCCGGCCCGGGCCGAGCCGCAGCCCCCGGCTCCCGGCAGCAGCACGGACACCGCCCGGCGTCTCCCGCCCCCCGGTGGCTACAGCCGCGGGACGGACGGACGGACGGACGGACGGACGGCACCCACCGTTCTTGCGCAGCTCCTCCAGCACCACCTGGATGGACTCCAGCGGGAGCTTCCCTGGGCGAGGGTTAAGGAGGCTCTCGCCGAGGGGCGGGGCGGGGGCTCGGGGGCTCGGGGGCTCGGGGGCACCGGGCCCAAAGGATACGCTGCAGGCGGCGGTTGGCGAAGAGCGGGCTGTCCTGCGCCTCCCGCACCGTCATGGCGGGCAGCCGGTGCCGCTGGCTGTAGGCGAGCGCCAGCGCGCACCAGGCCGAGAGCTGCTTCTGCCGCGTCTCGCCGTTGGGCTGCAGCCTGCGGGGCTCCGCTCAGCGACGGCCCGGGGCCGGCCGGCTGCGCGGGGTCCCGGTACACCGGTACCCGCGGCCCCGCTCCCCCCCGCCCCGGCCCCGGCCCCGGCCCCGGCCCCGGCCCCGCCCCCCCGGCGCCGGTGCCGGCCCCGCCCCCGCCCCGCGCTCACGTGAAGAACGGCGGGAAGCTGTACTGCCAGGGCCACGCGAAGCTCATCGCCGCCACCGGAACCGCCGCCGACGCCTTCCGGCCCGCCCCGCCCCGCTTCCGGCCCGCCCCGCGGAGCCCCGCCCCCTGCGCTGCACCGCCCCCCTTCTTAGCCCCGCCCCGCGAGTGCCCGCCCGCTCCCGGTAGCCACGCCCCACGGCTCCCCGCCCACTCATGCTAAACCACACCCCCATTGGCTCCGCCCACACACACGATTTCCCCGCCCACACATGGGAAGCCCCGCCCCCGCGGAGCCCGGTGCCGCTCCCGCCCGGTGTCCGGTACCCGGCGCCCCGCGGCGCGAAGCTGCCGCCGACACCGTGCCAGGGTGGAGCGGACGGCGGGAGCGACCGGTGGAAGAACCAGCTCCACGCGTGGGGAAAGAAGCGTTTAATCCTGTGGGGAGGGGAGGAGGCGGGGGGAGTTGCACGGCGGGAACCGGCTGCCCCAGCACCGTGTGCCGGTGACCCCAGGAGCCCCCCCCCCGGGGCGGCCCAAGAGGCCGGTGGCCCCGCAGCCCGGGGCGGGGGGGGCGCGGGGGGCTGTGCCCGGGCGCAGGACCCGCGGGGCCGCCGCTGCCCGCTCTCCGTCGGCCGCGGGCGCCCGGGCAGCGGTGCTAGGGCTGGGCCTTGCCGTCCTTGCTGCGCCAGATGACCAGCGTGACCAGGAAGGGGATGAGGCAGATGGGGGCGATGATCATGGCCAGCAGCACGTCCTCGGGCGGGTCGAAGTAGACCTGGTGCTCCAGGGTGCAGTTGTGGAAGTAGCGGTGGTGGCTCTGGAAGATGTACTGCTCCGCCAGCGCGTTGGGGTAGCCGTACTGCAGGTGGTCAGCCCAGGTCTCCAGGCAGAACTGCAGCCAGCTGTAGGGCCTGGGGAGAGGGCCATGGGGTGCTAGGAGGGGACGGGGATGCGCAGGGGCAGGGGGTGGCTGCGGGATGCCAGAGGCACAGACCCCCCCAGGCGGCCCCAAGCCCCCCCCCAGCCCAGCAGCACCCCTCCAGACTGCCCCGGGCTCGCCCTGCGCCCCGCTGCTGGCACCAGCCAGCCCTGTGCGGGTGGGAGCTGCTGGGGGGAAGGTGGCCCTGGCACGGCCCGGGGGCTCTGTCCCCATCAAACCCTTTCTGCTGTTTCGGGAGCTGCTCCACTCCTGTGGCCCTGGGGATGGAGGGGCCACCGGCAATGCCCCCGGCAGAGTCCCCATGTGCATCTTCCCCAGCCGGGGACATCCCCGGAGGCAGTCTGAGCCCCCCTGCCCGCCCAGACCCCCACGGCGCTGCCCAGGAGGCCCCTATGGCCATCCCGCTGCTCCCTACCTGCTGATGACTTTCCACTCGCACAGTTCCGACGCTGTCATGTTCCTCATCAGGTCAACAAAGTGCTCCCAGCACTTCTGCGTGATGTTGGTGTACATCTCCTCTGCAGGGGAAAGGCGCTGAGCACGGGCAGCGCACCCCCGCCACAGCCCGACCCTGCCCAGGCTGGCGGGGAAGGCACAGGCACGGGGGGGGGGGCCAGACCCCGCAGCAGCCCCGGGGCGATGCCAGGGAGCGTGGCTGGAGGGCAGGCTGCTGTGGCTGCCCCCACTTTGGCCAGCGCCGGGGAGGGCTCCATGGCACAGCCCTGCTATTTTGGGGATGGACAGAGAGCACGCAGCCAGGGGAAGGGGGGGTCGCTCTGCGGTGCAGAGCCGCCCCCAGCCAGGGCACTGTCAGCCCCGTGGTGCTGCCTGACACCCACCGAGCCCCGGCACTCACCCACGGGCTGGGCTGTCCAGCTGAACACGGCCATGGGTGAGCTCGTCCTGGCATCCTGGCTGAAGCCCTCCACCTCAGTGTCCGCATGGCAGAGCCCAGTCCCCAGGAGTGCTGTGGAGCAGAGGGGACAGGCTCAGCGGGGACGGTCGCTGGCAGGGCTCCACGCACGGGAGCTGCCCCAGCAGAGGCTGGGTCTGCCGGAGGGAGCTGGTTTTGGGGGTCCCTCGGGGGCCGCTGGAGCCAGCGGTCGGGGTGCAGGGGCCAGGGCGCCCAGGCCCCACACGGGCAGGGGCTGTGGGGAGGGGGCCAACTGGGCTGCAGGCAGCTGCCCAAGGGCTGGGCAGGGGCTGTCTGGAGGCTGCAGGCTCTGGGCTGTGGGTCAGGGTGCAGGGGGCGAGCCGTGCCCCCCACCCATGGGGAGCCAGCCTGGGGGCTGGCCCATTGCCCCGGGCAGCTGCACTGCAGCTGGACGCGGCTGGGGCAGGAAGAGGAAGAGCTGGCCACAGCGCGGCACTGCCAGAGAGCCCCTCCGCCCACCGTCTGCCCCACACCCAGCACGGCCTGCCGTGGGGCACGTCCTGCCCACCCCACCAGAGCCCCACGGCCCGAGCAAACCGCCCCTTCCATCTCTCGGCCGAGGGCCCATGGTGTGGGGCAGCGGCGATGGGTGCAGGGTGCATTGCCCCCGTGGGTCCTGCTTGGGCTGCTTGTGGGGAGCTCTGGCACGGCCGGGCACTGGCCACGGGGAGCTCCAGGGCTGGCACAGTGGCGGCAGCAAGGGCCGCGTGCCCTGCCCCGGTCCCTGTCCCTGGCGGCCCCATCCAGCCCCTCTCTGCCTGAGCATGTGTGGTGCTGTGGCTCCCGTCCCAGCAGGGGCTCCCCCGCTACCCTCGTGAGCCATTCGCAAAAAGACGGGCGATGAGCATGGCGGGGGCCTCCCCGCAGTGCCCGCTGGCCCCTGCCCACGCAGGGGACGGCCACCCCAGCCACCCTCGGCGCTGCCAGGCTGGCCCCGTGCCGTGCCGCGGCAGGCGGTGGGCCAGGCTGAGCCGAGACCCCGGCCCCGGGCCCCACGCGCGGGAAGGCGGCCGCATGCGGGGTGCTGCGGGGCGCAGAGCTCCCGCCACCAGCAGCCACGGCCCCGGGGCCGCCCCGCACACTTACCCCAGAGCAGCAGGAGCCCTCGGGAGAGCCGGCTGGGGCCCGTCTGCGAGCGCGGTGCCATCCTGCAAAAGCCTGCCGGCTAACGACCGGGACAAGTATTTCAATGGAAATAACAGGAAGCAACTCCTTTCCTCTGACAGGGGCAGTTTGACTACAGGAGACGTGTGAAAAATGAGATAGCTCAGCGCTGCTTTAAAGCGGCTCTCCCGGCGGGACCCCGCTGCCGTGCAGCACACTGCTGGCCCCCACGGGCATCGCTCCCGCACCCCGGCACCCCGCGCCTCACCCGCCGGCCCAGAGGCTCCGCTCCCCGCTCGGCACGTCCAGTTTTACGAGGCCGCTATTTGTTTACTTGTGTATTTCTCTTTAATCCTGTCTGGGCTGGGTTGTGAAATCCCTTGTCTCCTGCGTGGAGGGCAGGCAGCCCGGCAGCCGGGGGGAGTGGACGGGGAAGCGTAATGTCCCCGGACAGGCACTGCCGCCCGGGCGCAGAGGCGGCAAGGGGACCCACGGCCCTGGCACTGTGGGTTCTGACTCACCCGGGCACCTGCCCCACGGCCAGCATCACCGGGGCAGCCCCGGCCCCCGCCGGGGAGGGGAGGGTGGTGGCATGACTGTGGGTGCGAGGCCGATGCAGGCAGAGAGGCGGGGAGAGGGCAGAGACTCGGCCAACTGTGCCAGTCCTCAGGCCCAAAACCTTCTTGCCACACTGCCCAGCCCGGCTCTGCCGCAGCACCCTGCTCCTGGCGCAGCTCCCGCCCGCGGGGCCCACGTCCCCCCAAAGAGCAGCGCTGCCGAGGGCGACCCCAGCCCCGCGGGTCTGCGGTTTTCCTGCCCGAGGACCGGGCTGAGGCCAGGTGAGCTCATTGCACCTCTGGCCCAGGGCAGGGTGGGAGCCCAGAGCTTCTCGTTTAGCCGCCCACCCGCGGGACGCACGGAGCGTGAATCAGAGCGGGACAGAGCGCGGCTCAGAGGGACCCTCCCTGCTGCGGAAAGATGATCTTGCCAGGCTTTGCGCTCCCGGCAAACATCCCAGCAGAGCCGCCCGGCCCTCCCCGTGCGGCAGCGGCTGCCGCCCCGGGGCACGGCAGGACCTTTGGCGGGCGAGCAGCCACATCTGGAAGCCATCAGGCACTGGCGCTCGGGGGGACACAGGTTGGAGCCCCCTGGTCCCACTCATTGTTGGAGCCGCCGGAGCCTCCGGCCGGCAGCGGGAGCCTCTGCCAGGGAGACACCCAATGATCTCAGCGTGGCCCTGGGGCTGGGCCGGCCACCCCCCCCGGGGCATCCAGAGGGGACTGACGGGGACAGGATGGTGGCTGCCAGCTGGGGCCAGGGGCTCCCCCCCGCCAGCCTGGCATCCCCAGTGCCCCGCTGCCAGCCCCCGCCCCGGGGTGCCAAGGGTGGGGGTTCAGCCCATGCAGGGTCAGGACCCTTCTCTCCCCCCGGGGCAGATGCAGGCATCGGGAGCCCCAGGCCCAGCCTTCTCCCCATGCCACGGGACCTTCTCCATCCCCAGGGATGCCCAGACTCCCGTCCCCACTCTGGCCTGTCTCCCTCACCCCCAGCCGACTCGTCCCACTCATTAGCTCCTGGGGCTGGGAGGGGAGGGGGCTGTCGCCGGCCCCTCACGGGCGTGGGGGCAGCCAGGGGCTGAGCAGCTGCCTGCCGGGGTTTGAGCCCCTTTTCGGGCTCTGCTGAGCGTGAGGGCGGCTGCAAGGGGCACGAGGCAGCTGAGCCCCACAGCCACAGGCATCACGGGGGGCAGCTCCCCCAGCCAGGGGGGCTCAGCCCCTGTGCAGTTGGTGAAGTATTCAGCGTGGACCTGCAGGAAGAAGGCGTCGAGGATGGTGCCGGGCCAGGGGCAGGAGAGCAGCTGGGCCAGCAGCTGGGTGCAGCTGGAGAGCTCGCTGTAGGTGCTGCAGAGGGGACAGCATGAGGCCAGCTTGCTGACACATCCGCCGCGGCAGCCCCGCAGAGACCCCGCTCCCGGCGCGCATTCGGCACGGCCAGCGCTGACGCTGACCCACCTGCTGATCTGGTCCCAGCGGCAGCGGCCGCCCTCGGGGGTGGCCATGAGGGCGGCGTGGAAGGGGGCCCAGCAGAAGAGGGAGATCCAGTCCCGGTATGTGTCCTGGCAGCGGGCTGGCCCCCCCAGCACCTCCAGTGGTCCTGCAGAGCGTCAGCCAGACCCTGGGATGCTCCCCCAGTCCCAGCTCTCCACCCCAAGCCCAGTGTTGGGGGGCTGTTTGGGTCACCCCCGGGGAGCACTCCTCGCTCTGCCCAGTGTGGGCCAGGCACCCCGTTTCTCACGTGGAGTTCAACGTGCAGCCCTGGGGGTCCCACACTGGGGCTGCCGGTGGCCGCGGGGGGCCCTGTCCTGGGCTCAGCCAAGCCAGGACCTGAGCTCTTGTGAGCCCCAGCACAGATCGCACGGGGCCCACCAAGGTCTGTGGGTGGATGGATCAGGGTCTGGGGAGGGCAGGTCTACTCACCATCCTCGTCCAGGTACAGGTAGTGACCTGGAAGGACAGGAGGTGCCGTTGGCGCTGGCAGGACCTGCGGGACTGCGCGAGGGCACGGCCCCATTCCTCAGGGGTGCAGACACTGCCTTTGCCGGCAGTAAAGCCTGCAGCCACGGCGATGGTGCCCCAGCCAGGACCAGAGCTGTGCTGGGATGATGGCATCAGGGTCTTACCTTCATCCTCCAGGTCCCCATACTCAGCATCCCCACGTCCTGCAGCAAGGAGACATGGAGTGCCAGGGCTGCACAGCCGGGGACAACCCCAGTGCCCAGCCAGCTTTGGGGCACAAGCCGGGGTGGTCTCCGCACACTGGAGACCCCTCCTCCTCCCAGGCTGAGCTGAGCACAGCAGAGGTGACCGGCTGAGGGGAGGGAAGGGGAATAGGAGGCTCCTGGTGCTGCCTTGGCCTTTGCAATGGGCAGAGCAGTTTCTGAGCAAACACCCTCCCTGCGGGCAGGGAACCCTGCCCAGAGCATCCTCCAAGGGAGGGGGCGGGGGGAGGCATGTCAGGGGAGCTGCCGCCCAGCACAGATGCATTGGGATGGAGAGGAGAAATGGGCCAGGGTCCCTGTGGGGACTCGCTGCCCGGCCAGACCCTGTGCAGACCCCCCGGCTGCCACCCCCGCGATGCACCATGCAGCAGCAGCCCCAGCGGCTGCGGGTCCAGGCTGCTTTTACCCGGCTGGAGCAGAGGAAAGAGCAGGCAGCTCAGCTGAGCAGCCACAGCCTGGGGAGCACCCTCCCACCGCCGGGACCTGTGTGCTCAGGCTGGGGCTGCGACCGTGGGATTTATCCCGGTCCCTGGCCCGGCCCAGTGCTGCCCGCCTGCTCCCGGGCTGATGCCTGGGAAGGTCGGAGGGACGCCGGGCTCCCGCTCCACCTGACTCAGCAAAGCTCCAACAGCACGGGATGTGGGCCCGGGCGGGATGCAGGATGCAGGGTGTGGGATGCAGGGGTGCGGGATGCGGGGGTGCGGGATGCGGGATGCAGGGTGTGGGATGCGGGATGCGGGGGTGCGGGATGCAGGGTGCGGGATGCGGGGGTGCGGGATGCGGGATGTGGGGGTGCGGGATGCAGGGTGTGGGATGCGGGGGTGTGGGATGCGGGATGCGGGGGTGCGGGATGCAGGGTGTGGGATGCAGGGTGCGGGATGCGGGGGTGCGGGATGCGGGGGTGCGGGATGCGGGGTGCAGGGTGCGGGGGTGCGGGATGCGGGGTGCGGGATGCGGGATGCAGGGTGCGGGGTGTGGGATGCAGGGGTGCGGGATGCGGGGTGCGGGATGCAGGGCTGCGGGATGCAGGGTGCGGGATGCGGGGTGCGGGGTGCGGGGTGCGGGGTGCGGGGTGCGGGGTGCGGGCCCGGGCGGGATAAGGGCCGGCCCTGCTTGTCCCCCGTGGCCACCCCGGCGGGGCCGACCGCCCGCCACTCCCCCACGCCGGGAAGCCGTGCCGCCGGCCCGGCAGGACGGGAAGGCCGGGGACCCCTCCGGGGCCGGGGCCTCGCAGCAGGAAGAGCCGCCGCCACCGGCCGCTTCCTGCCCGGCGCCGCTCAGGAAACCCGGGGCCCGCCCGGCCGGCGGTCCCGGCCCCGCCACCGCCCCGCGGCCCCCGGGGCGCCAGGCCCGGCTCTGCCCACCCGGCCCTCGGCGGGGAGCGCGGCCCCGCCGGCCCGAGCTGCCCCCGGGCCCGAAGGGCGGCAGAGCCGGGGCAGGGACGGGCGCTGCCCCGCCGAGCCCTTCCCGCGGGACCGGGCCGAGTAGCTCCCGCGGCGAGACGGGGCCGGGCGCGCCCCAGCGTGGGCGGACAGCGGAGCGGGGCGGGCAGCGGAGAGGGGCTGGCACCGGGCTCGGAGCCACCGGGCGAAGCCCGTTCCCGCCAGCCGGTGTGGGGGGGGTCTCTGGGCTGAAGCGCGCCCGCCCCGCGGGGCTCCGGCCGGGCCCTGCGGCTCCGGGTCCGGGCACCCCGCCGGGAGAGACCGGCACCGGCACCGGCACCGGCGGGGGGGGCGGGGCTAAAGTACGGGGCGGGGGCACCGTGCGGGGGCGGAGCTGGGATATGGGGCGGGGCTGAGAGCGGAGGCGGGGCCGCACCGCGGGGGGCGGGGTTTGAGGCGGGGCCGCGTCGCAGGGGGCGGGGTTTGGGGCGGGGGCCACAGCGCGGGGGCGGTGCCTCGGCGCAGGGGGGCGGGGTCGTCACGGGGCGGGGCTGGGTGCGGCGCAGGCGCGGTTGCGGAGGGGCGCGCGGCCTCCCCCCGGCGCGATGGCCGAGGAGTGAGTGTGGGGCGAGGGGAGCCCCGGGGGGCGGGGGGGGTCCCGGGGGGGGTCCCGGGGCGGGCTGCGGGGACGGGACACGATCCCCCGGTCCAGCGGCGCCGGCCGGCCTTGGCCCGCTCCGGTGCGTGTCCTCGGCGCAGCCGGGCTGCGGGCCGGCGCTCGGGCCCGGCCGGGGGCGGGGGGCCGGCCGGGAGCCCCGGGCCGGGCCGGGCGGGCAGTGCTTGGCGCGGGGGCCGGGCTCCCAGCACGGCTGGGGGGCCCGGGAGCCGCCGCTGCCCCCGCCCGGCCCGCGGGTCTGTGTCCGGGGGGGGCCGGGGCACCCGGCGAGCCCCCCGGCGCCTCTCGGGGGTGCAGCGGGGCGGCCGAGCCGCCGCCCGGGCAGGCGCTGTGCGCGGGGGCCCGGGGCCCACTCCCCACCCTTCCTTCCCCGCTGCGGCCCACGCCCGCGAGCCCCCCAGGCTTTTCGGGGCACTTTGTGCCGAGGTTGTTCCCTAAATAGCACTAGTGCAGATTTACGCAGTTATTTCTGCCTACTTAAAGGCTATGATGCGTTTAAAAACCACAGGTTTGGGTTTGGTTTTTTTTTTTCTAATGGCACTTGTTTACAGGATTAAGCTCTCTGTTATTTGATACTTATTCTTTCTGTACTTCTATAGAAAAATGGAAATCGCCACTCCTCCAACATCAAAGTGTATTATATACTGGAAAAGAAAAGTCAAGTCTGAATATATGCGTCTCCGGCAGCTCAAGAGGTTTCAGGCGAACATGGGAGCTAAGGTGAGGACATAGGGGTGGTAGATCAAGCTGAACGGGTGTCTCCTAAACACTTTGCTTTAGCTCATAGTGTTTAAGCCTCTATCAGGGTGCTTCATCCTGTGAATTGATAAGCTGTATTTTAGCTGCAAGCTGGGTAAGCTGAGAGAGATCCTGTTTCTCCTCATGCTCCATTATTAGCCTCGAGCTGTGCAGTGGGTTCTGTTGTATGTGGAAGTCAGTTGGCTGAGTACTTGTGTAACTGCAGCAAGAGGACTCCTTTCCACTTGTTCTTTAAAGTTTGAACACCCTCAGTGCTGGTGGGTTTTGGATGGCTTGCTCTGGTGCTCCTCTCCTTGGCAAGCAGGATTTTAGAAGAGATTGGCTGGGATCAGGACTCACCAAGAGCTACTGGCTGTTGGGTGGATTTTCATCACAGTTTTGTACTGATGCTGAGTTTAATTAGAATTCCTTCTGAGTATCATCAATTTGAAGCGCTCTGCCTTGCATACATTTTGGTACTTGAAAGAAAATCTCAGGAGGGGTTTTGGTGTTTTCAACATGATTACTTAAGTTTTGAGTGCTGCTTTCTCTCATTTCAGGCTCTGTTTGTGGCCAACTTTGCAAAAGTTCATGAAAAGACTCAAATTCTGAACGAAGACTGGAAGAAGCTTCGAGTCCAGCCGGTGCAGTTGATGAAGCCAGTCAGTGGGCATCCGTTCCTAAAACAGGTATGGAGAGGGGAAGGGGCTCAGCAGCAGCAAGTGGGGACCAGAGCCGGGGCTTGGCGGGGAGCTGAGAGGATCCGGGATCGGTTTTCCTCTGTGCTGTCCTATGTCAGAGTCGGGCCGTGCCTCGCACGCTTCTGGGATGCAGAAACGGGCAAAATCAGACTGAAGGCTCTTCCTGTGAAGGAGTCCCGAAGAGTGAACGTGGGGCTTCAGTGTGTCTGTCCCGAGGTGCAATTTCCCTCTGGCTGTGACCGCCTCCCGGGGCGGTTTCCTCACTGCCCTTCTCTGTTCTCTATTCTAGTGCACTGTCGAGAGCATTTTCCCAGGGTTCCCGAGCCAGACGCTGTACATGAGGACCCTGAACACGGTGGCACTGGTGCCCATCATGTACTCCTGGTCCCCTCTTCAGCAGAATTTCATGGTATGTAGGAAGGCTCTGGGGCACAAGGTCTTGGTGCAATTAGTGTGTAATTGTTACATGGTTATGGAGTGATTATGCTGCCTTCAACCCACTTGTTTCAAGCAATGCCTGCTCCAGAGATGAGAGGAAGTATTGTTTAAGTTGCTTTGTCGAATCCCATAAACCAGCATTGTATCCAGGTAGTCTCTCCTTTACACCTGACTTCTTGATAGGGTCACAGTTATTTCACAGGATTCAAGGAGTAAATATATTTTTGTGGGGTTTTTTTGTTTGTTTTGTTTTTTGTTTTTTTTTTGTTTTTTTTTTCCTTAAGATTTTTTCTTCTCTTTGAGATGAAGAGTTTTCTTTCTTAGGGAGGTCCTTTCCTTTGTGACTGGATTACCCTGCTGGTTTTGTTGTAAGGCTGCCGCTGAGCATTGCTTCCTCTATCGTAGCAGTGAGGGGAGTGATTTAAATGCAGATTTTGGTGTGGCGTAGTTAAGACTATTTGTTAAACAGACAGGTGGTCTGTGGCTAGCCTGGCTCTTTGCCCGGGGTGGGGATGTGTTCCTGCAGCCTGCCAACCTCTGAAGCCTCCCGTAGCAGACGGGAGTAGTGTGACACCAGCGACTGTAACGCTGTCGGTCGGCGGTGCCATGGCAATGAAGGTCCAGTGTCCTTGCTCCTGTGGTTAACGCGAGAATGCTCCTCAGCTTTGGCAGTGTTCCTCCGGGGAGTGAGTTACCTGTTTGCCTTCCGCTGTTCCAGTTCTACTCTGCCTTGAACACAATCCGTCTGACATTTTTTGATTGTTTATTATTCTTGGCAATGAGTGTGTTTCTGAGTTTCTGTAAGCCTTGGAGGCACTGCTCTTCTTTTTAAAGGCAAATTGCACGTTTGGGGGTCAGAGTTACACTGCTGGCGTGGGATAACAACGAAATGTCGGTGATGAGACATCTGAAACTGCAGCTGGGGAGGTTGAACCTTTGGTTTGCACTGTGGTGTCTGTGGGTCTGAATGGACGGGAGCAGCCCCAGACACACAGCCTGGCTGGGGGTCAGCAGGCGCTGGTTTTCTGAATTGTATCTGATCTCTTGTCAGGTGGAGGATGAAACTGTTCTGTGCAATATCCCATACATGGGTGATGAGGTGAAGGAAGAAGATGAAACTTTTATTGAAGAACTTATTAATAACTATGATGGGAAAGTTCATGGAGAAGAAGGTAACCTGGGAGCAGTTAGCACTGCCCATTCAGTTTCTTGATAATAACATCTCAAAGGAGTTAGGAAGCCAAGAGGTGGCAGCAGTAACCAGCTTTTCTGTAGGAGCTGTTGAAGCAGAAAACGAGGAATATGCCTGCTGTTCTAGTTTGCAAGGACACAGCCCTGCCTTGTGCTGTCTCACTCCCTTCTAGGCCTGGGGTGCTCTGGAGCCAATGCTTTTGCTCACAGGGGTTCACAGGCGTGCTCTGGGATGCTGAAAAGTGTGCTAGAGGTTAGGAGGAGCTCAGCAACCTCATTTCACTTGTGACCTTAGCGAAGACTTTAATCAGTCTTTCCAGAAATGAAAAGCCAGTGTGTTTCCCTACAGTGCTGCCTCCCCCATTGTAAAATGCTGCTTGGAGGGGGGAAGGCAGTGGAAAACTCTCTGGTTTGGCCTGTCCTCAGATTGCTAAAAATGATGCACCACTCTATGACTCTCTAGCATTAAAATCCCACCAATACCTACAAAATTGAGAGAAATGTTCTGGTTGCTAACAATGTCGTGTGGTTGGCTTGTGATTTACCACTGTGAGCAGCGTGAAAGATGATGGCACTCCCACAAACTGGCTGGCATTTCTGTGTTTTAGAAATGATTTCAGGGTCAGTCCTCATCAGCGATGCTGTGTTCCTGGAGCTAGTGAATGCCCTGAATCAGTACTCGGACGAGGAAGAGGAAGGACACAATGATTCTGAGGTTAAGCAGGAGGATGGGAAGGAGGAGCTGCCAGTCACAAGGAAAAGAAAGCGAATTGCAGTGGAAGGTGGGTTTGGCCACAGAAATTGGGGTTATCTTGGTCATGTTTCCATCCTGCCCTGCCTGGGTAGCCATCGCTCTTGGTTATTAATGTGTCACCAAGGGTGGTGGTGAGCTTGGCAAGTTCTGGTGCAGCAGGTGAAAGCAGAAGGGAAATTGGCTGTTCTCACTGGCCCCTGTGGACAGGGTAAGTAGTCACCAGCTTACAGTGTGGTGAAGAACAATTTAGATGAGTCAGCTGGAAAGACATTTCATGGTAAGGTTAGCAAAGCAGTGGGGTATTGTCTGAGGAGGCTGTTGGATCTCTGCTCTTGGAGGCTTTAAAGTCCTGCTCTGGCAAGCACCCCTCAGTAAGCTTGTGGGTAGATCTGATGCCGCTGTAGGCCAGGGAGGTGGGCCTTTCCAAATCCCTCCCAGACCTGTTTTCCATGTGTTTGTGTTCCTCTGTCCTCTCCTGTGCCACCTGGAGTTGTTGTTGCATAGAAGAAGCTCTGATTTATGGGATTTTCATGTGTCCTGCATGACCTTAGGAATGCTGACTGGTAGTTTTGTCTTTGTCTTTGCTTTATAGTGATACGGGTAGCACAAATACCAGGACCTTTCGTAGATGTAGAAAAGCATTGTCTGCAAATCCTGTCTTGGTAAAAATAAGCAGTAATAGTGCTTAAGAAATGGTTAGTACTTTCATCAATACATTTTGCTACTCTGAAACTGTCAGACTGTACTGTATCTGGAAATGCCTTAGCCTAGTTACAGGACAGAAGGTTTACGCATTTTATATGGGATCACATTTCTGTCTCTTAAAGTACAATCTGAACACCTACTGGAATCACTCTCTGTGAACGAAGGGAAGACATGTTCGCATCCACCTTAACTGAGGAATTGTTTCTTCTTTTTCTCAGGTAACAAGAAGTGTTCAAAGAAGCGGTTTCCAAATGACATGATATTCACTGCTATTTCTTCTATGTTTCCTGAGTATGGCTTCCCAGATGATATGAAAGAGAGGTAGAAGATCTCTACTTACATTGTCTGTTACCTTTCTTAGCAACAATTGAAATCTGTATTTCAGAAAACAGCGCTGTGCTCTGACCAGAAAGCAGAGCTTAGCTGGCTGCAGGCACCGTGAGCAGCGCGGTTTTTGAGCTTTAGGAACCTCAGTTTAGCCTCAGGGTATGGGCCAGAGTCCTGCTGGCCCAGATAGCAGTATAGTGGTATAAAATGCCCCAGATTAGGAAACCATGCACTTCTGTGGGTGTTGCTGTTTGTCGAATAGGTACCGGGAGCTCACGGAAGTGTCGGACCCGAACGCGCTGCCGCCGCAGTGCACCCCCAACATAGACGGGCCGTGCGCGAAGTCGGTCCAACGGGAGCAGTCCCTGCACTCCTTCCACACCCTCTTCTGCCGCCGCTGCTTCAAATACGACTGTTTTCTGCATCGTAAGTGCAGTCTCGGCCGGACGCTTCCCTAGAGCCCTTTTCTCCTCATTTTTCCTCGGTGCTTCATACCTCTGTGCAGCTCGCTTAGTGTCTGTGCTGCAGGCTTTAGAGGGTGGTGCCTCCCCGGCGTTTGCAGTGGAGCCTTAGGAGCTGACAGGTGCCCAGACGCCTGTTATAAAGACGGCTCCACTCATTTCCTCAAACGGATGGTAAACCGACCTGCGTGGCCGTCCCCTCTTTCTCACCATTGTTCAGCACGCTGTGTTCGAGCCTCCTGGCAGTTTGTGCCAGAAATACTGCCACGACTAGACTTTACTCTTGCTTTGCAGAAGCTCATCAGGGAAAGGCATGAATGTTTCACTTCCAAAGTCTGGACATGCCTGTGTGTTTTGTTGCCTCACTGGAACTTACAGCTTCATCTTAGTCATGTTCCTGCAGTTTGTCCTGCCAAAGTCTTTTGGATACTGGTTAGCTGTTGGACCTGCTGTTTCCCAGGTCTAAGAGCTTCTTTGGAAAGTCACAGGACTCCTTCCAGTGAATTATTAAAAGATATAATATTAAGATCATGTGGTCCTTTTGTTTCAGTCTGAAAGCAGATCTTTTTCCTATGGCCTCTCCTTCCCACGCATTCCCTCGCTGCTGCCGAGTCCCCGTCCTGGGTTGGAGCAGGGCTGGCCAGGGGTCCTGCTGCCTCGTCCCCGCTGCCCGGCGCTCTCGGGCACTCTTGCTGGACACGTCAGGCTCCCACTTACCTTCGTTGAGCTTGTGCTGCCCCTGTCCCTTGCAGTGTGTGGAGAGACTCTTGGAGGATGCTAATAGTAAAGATAACTATTATTTTTTCAGCTTTTCATGCTACTCCTAATGTGTACAAACGAAAGAATAGAGAGACCAAGATCGAGCCAGATCCTTGCGGAGCAGACTGTTTCCTCTGGCTGGTATGTTTCTGCATTGCTGCTTTTGAAACCACGAGAGAAGTGGCCTGGGCAGCCCTGCTCTTCAGAACTCTGCGGGGTCTTTTCACAGCTTCAGTGATTTTTCAGAATTAGTTCTAATCCTCACTGGATTCAGGGAGGTGAATTCAAATGCAGACTTTACCAGATACATCTTTCAGCAAATCTCCAACGAAGACTAATTTCATAGCTAGCAGATGGGAAATTGTGGTGACAAATGATTTCTCTGGCCTCAGTGCAGCGTTTAAAAAATGAAGCCCAGGTTAAAAATGCTGGGGAAGGAATCTAGTGTATGTGGGGAAGGCTCGGACTATTTTTAAAATGTTCTTTCAGAAATGCAGCCTAGCTGTGTTACTGGGGATGAGCGCTGCAGATCGGCAGAGCTGGCTGCGGGGCGCGCTCCGTGGTGCTGCAGCTGGTCTGGCTGGCTGGTTCGCGGGGTGTCCCGGGGGGCTGCAGGGCTGGAGCGGGGGGAGAGGCCAGAGCTTCGCTGCCAGGGCAAGAGGCAGGGGAGCAGACCGGAGGGCGGGGGCCGAGGCTGAGCGGGCAGCGCTGCCGGAGGGAGCAGAGGCGGGGTGTGCAGTGCAGGCGGCTGGCAGGGCCCGGGCAGTCGCTGGAGCGACCATGTGTGGCGAGTCTTCCACCCGCTCTTGGTGGCGGCGGGGCAGGGCTTGTCCCAGGGCCTCTGGGAAAGCCTGTCCGCGTTCCCGGGTCATCTGCCACCCGCCTTGTCTTCTGCTCTGCTTGCAGGAAGGAGCCAAGGAGTTTGCTGCGCTGCACAACCCCAGGTCCAAGTGCTCGGGCCGGCGCCGCCGGCGGCACCACGTGGTGGGTGCGTCCTGCTCAAACACCCCGGCGTCTGCCGTCGCCGAGACGAGGGAGGGCGACAGCGACCGAGACACGGGCAACGAGTGGGCCTCGAGCTCCTCGGGTATGATGCCGGCCCAGAGACACCCCGCAAGGACCGGCGGCACCTCGCAGCCGGGGCTCTCCCCTCACGCCCCGCACAGGGCTGTGGATTTGGAGTTGGCCGAGCCGGTGTTTCCAGTGGGGCTTAAAGGAACACGAGGGACACCAGGCCCTGCCCTTGCTGCTCTGGGGTTCACTGTCCTCCCCCAGCGGGGAGGAATGTTGCCAGGCAAAGCGAGAGCTTTGCTGGGACCTGCAAAGCCAAGAGCCCTCGGCTCAGCACCTCGCCTGGCTGTGCCCCGGCAGCACCAGTCCTGTGCTTGTCCCTCGGCGGCGCAGCTGTGGCCGGGGAGCTGTCGAGGCGGGGGCTGTCCGTGGACCTGCCAGGAGTGAGCGCTTCCTCGGTGCCGCAGACGAGCACTGAGCTGCTCCTCCCATGCCAGGGGAACGGGTGACCGGGGCAGAACGAGCTCCCGAGGGGCGAAGGGCTCCCGTATGTCTGTGTCCCATCTCGGGCGGGAGAGGAGAGAGCTCATCCTCGGGCCTCTCTGGTGCTGCTGCCCTACTCGGGGGGGCTCCGTCCTGGGCCAGCTCTGGAAGGGGAAGGTGACGTGGTGGCTCTGGTGCTGCCTTGCTGCCGGGGGCCAGTGCCACCCTCCCAGCCAGCGCCGGGCTGCCTGACGAGAGGCAGGAGCGTGCGGCAGGGCCCGCGGTGCCGGGCTGCTAGGCGGTGTGGAGCCGGGGGGGCCGCTGCCCCCGGGAGCTGTGATGGTGCGGGTGCGTTCTCCCGTGCTGTGTTTGGTCTAAGGTCTGCCTTTCCTGCCAGAGGCAAACTCCCGCTGCCAGACCCCCACCAAGCAGAAGCTGAGCCCGGCCTCCTCGCAGCTGTTTGCGGTGGAGACGCCGCAGGAGCCCGTCGAGTGGACGGGAGCTGAGGAGTCGCTCTTCCGCGTCTTCCACGGGACCTACTTCAACAACTTCTGCTCCATTGCCAGGCTGCTGGGAACAAAGACGTGCAAGCAGGTGGGTGCCTGGAGAGGCCGGTGCTGCAGCGCCTGGCCCGGCAGCAGCAGAGAGGCCTTGCCCGCCGCTTGCCTGTTTTTTCTTCGCTGCCACAAATCGCCCCGAGGAATGTGTTGCATCAACACTCTGTGGAGTTCGATGTGGTTATTTTGCAGTAGTGCTGCAGTTTGCAGAACGAGCCCCACGCATGCCCGGTGCCTCCGGAGTGCCTTGCCTGAGGCCGGGCGCGCTGGCGGGGCGGGCGCTCTCGCTCCCCAGGCAAGAGAAGTGATGGCACCCATGGTCAGCAAAATGGGGCAGAACTGCCCGCGTACTGGCCCCCGGACTGGGAGCACCCCTGTGCGTGCTTGCTTGCGCTCGCTCTGTTTATACTTCAGATAAAAACAACTTGAGTACACTGAACTTTATTCTTTTTGCTTCTATTTTTTGTAGGTCTTTCAGTTTGCAGTGAAAGAATCGCTTATAACCAAACTGCCAACAAACGAATTAATGAATCCATCCCAGAAGAAGAAAAGGAAGCACAGGCAAGCGTTGGACAAGCTTGTTTTGTTCTTAAAATGCAACCAGATCCACTGCTTTTTGTGCCAAAGCATTCCTGGTAATCCCCATCTGGCTCCCATCTGCGCACACATCCCGCTGTCGCATGGGGCTGCTGGTGCTGCTGGCTGGGTGCTGCCCCCCGGCCTGTCTCCCTGGTGCTGCTGCCCTGGCTGAGGGGCTCTGCAGCCCCGGGCTCAGCCCCAGAGGAGAGAGCAGCATGGGGCCCGGCCGCAGGGCCGCACCACCGCGGGAGGGCCCGTACGCTGATCTGACGGTGGCCTTAGCCTCAGCTCCCTGGCTTGTAACCTACTTCGTGTGCTGATCCCAGTCTGTCCGGTATTATTCTGGGTCTAGCATTTGCCATAAATAACTTCTGCTGTAGCTGCATCATTCTGATCTTTCTCTGCGTTACGGCGGGCTGGTGGTTATTAATGCATGAGGCTGCCAGGCACCCACTGCCGAGCAGCCGGGGCTGGCGCGTCCCCTCAGACCCTCTCTGCTTCCCTTCCAGGCTGTGGGCCGCGCACTGCAGGAAGATTCAGCTGAAGAAAGGTAGCGTTTGCTGCGGCGGCTGCGGCGCGCGGGGTTGGCGTGGCCGCTCGCCTGCGGGATCGCGTTCTCGCAGCGGGACGGCCGCATCCTGCTCTGCAGCGGCGTGGGGCGGGAGCGCCCCGCGGCTGGGCTCCTTGGGGTGCTGCGGGAATTGCCGCCGGGCCGGTGCTGTCTCTGGGGCTTGCTCCAGCCCGGGGGGAGGCTGGGGCTTGGTGAGCAGCCCCGCTGCCGGACGGGCTGTTCGGGGCAGAGCCGACGTGCGCGGTGGGTCTGTGGGTCTGTGGGAGCGGCGCTGGGTGCTGCTGGGATCCCTGCCCTCTGCAGGCAAACGGGGAGCTCGCACCTTCCCTGTTCCAGAGCCCTGGGCGTGCTGCTTCCAAACGTTTCTGCAATGTGCAGCTTTTAATCCGGGCATTTCTCCTCTTGGTCTAGATAATTCGCCTACCCAGGTGTACAACTACCAGCCCTGTGACCACCCCGAGCATCCCTGTGACAGCTCCTGCCCTTGCATCATGACTCAGAATTTCTGTGAGAAGTTCTGCCAGTGCAACCCTGACTGTAAGGAGGAACCCAGGACTATTGGGCAGCTCTCCTGACCCAGACCAGAGGGAGGGTGCAGGGCTGGGACTTGGAGGCCTGCTTTATTCCTGCATTCACTGCTCTGTCCCTCTGCAGCAGTTTGATTAGCAGTCTGCTAAAGTCCAAGGGAAAACTGTTCCATGCTGCCCTGTGACTCTCGGCAGCTGAGATACGTGCTCTGGTTAGAGAATGCTCATCTGCATGTCTGTATCCAGCATCAGTGACCCACGGTGATGCTCTGGGTCCCTGAGAGCAGCATGTGTGGCCAGCAGTTAGGGAGGGAGTTGGGTCACTGCTCTGCCATGGTTATTTTCCCCCCTGGGCCTCCATTCCCGTCTCTGCAATGGAGATAACCGCGCTTGCCAACGTTGGCGGGGCTTCTGAGGGTGGATTTGTTAACGGTTATGACATAGCTTGGAGCTGGAAGGACTACAGGGTGACAGGGAGCGAACTTGGGCTCTGAGGTTCTCTGTACTGGTCTCTTATGTTTATATTATCCGAGTAGTTTATATTCAAACTGCCCATAATTAGTCCCAAGAAGCAGATGAGCATCTCCAGCCACGCAGGCGGGAAGGGCCCTGTGCATGGTCCGTGCTCTGCTAGGCGTGAGCGGCGCTCAAAGCTCCCGTGCACGCCGAGTGTTGCTGGGATTTACTGCCAGCTCCTGGTGCGCAGGCTGCCTCGCCTTCCCCTTGTCACCTTGTTCTCAGTGAGCGTGGTCCTTACGACTCCGGGGGGTGGGAAGGCGGGCTGGGGGCTCCTCTCTCTGCTGCCCGGAGCAGAGGGGGTGTAGAGCTCTTTATTAGCACAAAGGCACCTTCCTTATGTTAGCAGAGTGGCCCTTGGTCACAGACAGGCTTAGTTCTGGGCCTGCCAGGGTGAGACCTGGCTCGGGAGGGGCTTCAGTGGGGCAGGGACACTGCGTGGCCCCTCTGTTCTCTGAAAAACCTCACGGTGCAAAACCACGGGCTGTGTTGCTGCAGGTCAGAACCGCTTCCCAGGCTGCCGCTGTAAAACCCAGTGCAACACCAAGCAGTGCCCGTGCTACCTGGCCGTGCGGGAGTGCGACCCGGACCTCTGCCTGACCTGCGGGGCTTCGGAGCACTGGGACTGCAAGGTGGTCTCCTGCAAGAACTGCAGCATCCAGCGAGGTCTCAAAAAGGTATCGACAGCAGCAGGGCGCTGGGCTGCTGGCCGGGGGCTGCCTCGGGGAAGAGCTGGTAAACGGGAGCTCCTGCTGCGTGGGAGGGGGCGTGCGAGCCACCCGCCGCTGCCCCAGTGAGGAGGTCTGGGGGAGAAGTTGCTCTGCCCCAGGCTTTGTAGCACTTAATCTGGAGTGTGGATTATGGATGTGAAAATCGGGAGACGGGAGTTACCTGAGGAAGGGTGAGAGCAAGGGGCTGTAAAAAGTGACTCCAGACAAGGGTTTAGTTTTGAATTCTGATAGTCAGGGCAAGGGACTCTGCATAAAAACCCCCAAAATTCAGAGGAAGATGCAAATTGGTGGGTGACACATGATGTGCAGCTCCAGCCTGGTGGTGCGGTGACATGTAAGTCTGTAGGGAGCTGTGTGTCACCTTAAACCGGGGGATGCTGGATCGACACTGGCTCCTTGGCCCTGTGATGTTGGCACTTGGAGCATGGCAGCTGGCACAACGCGGCTGCCCCCGGGCTCTGCCCTAACCCCGGCGTGTGTGACTGTGCCGGGAGGTGGAGAGCTCCTCCCTGTTGCTTTCCAGTCCGCCTGATGCACGGGGTGTGATCTGTGCCGGGAGGCGGTGGCTCTGCTGACCGTAACTGTTTCCTTTTTGCCTTGGCTCCAGCATTTGCTGCTGGCACCGTCGGATGTCGCCGGCTGGGGGACTTTCATCAAGGAATCCGTGCAGAAGAATGAGTTCATCTCCGAGTACTGTGGTGAGGTCAGTGCTGCTGCTCGTGCTGGGGCTGCTGCTCTGTGTGCTCGGGACGCTGCCTTCGGTGGCAGTGCTTCCTCTGGCCCCTGGCCCGAGGGGGGACAGCGTGCCTTCCCCAGCTCGGCCATGGCCACGGGCTCCCTCTGACCAGCTTTAGAGATTGAATCCCGTACAATTTTGGGACCTGCCTCAGTACCTGCAGGCCCTCCACCGTGGAGGAGCGTGTTGTGTACGTGCTGCTCCCTGGGAGCCCAGCTCTTGCCTCTGCTCCCTCCTGGGGAACCCTGGCGAGCTCCTGCCCGTGGGGTGGTATTTTCAGGAGGTGGGCGAGTGCCGCCCCTCACAGCGACCCTGGCTGTGCCCTCAGGCGCTGGGTCTCTCACGGTGTTCTCCTTCTCCAGCTCATCTCACAGGACGAGGCTGACCGGCGAGGGAAGGTCTATGACAAGTACATGTCCAGCTTCCTCTTCAACCTCAACAATGGTAACTCGCCCGGGGCTTTGAGGGGTGGAGGAGACTTGGGCTTCCTGGCAGAGGGGGGTGGTGGCCAGGCGGGCAGTCTCAGCCCCTCTGTCACCTGAGTGGCAGGCCTGTCTTTACACTACAGTTTTCTTTTTTTGTTTTCTTTTTTCTTTTCTAATTCTTTTTAATAGATTTTGTCGTTGATGCCACCCGCAAAGGAAACAAAATCCGCTTTGCCAATCACTCGGTGAACCCCAATTGCTATGCCAAAGGTGAGGTACCGCTGCCCAGGCAGACCTCGCTGGGGGGTGGCTCTCTGGGCTCCTTCTCAGCTCCGGGACTGCAGCACGTTCTCCGGGGTGCTGAGTCGCCCTGAGCCTGTGGGAGCAGCAGAACTTCAAAGGCCTGGGCAGAGTCTCTTCCTCCCTGCAGCAAATCACGGTCCTGCTGGCGAGGGCCCCGCTCAGCTCTGCGCCGGCCCTGGCCTCGCAAGGGGGTCGCTGCCAGAGAGCGGCCGGGAGCCCCCCGGGCAGCGCCGCCCCGTTCCTGCCTGGCGGGAGCTCGGGCGCCGCGGCCCCGGGGGCCGGCAGTGGCCAGGCGGGGCGAAAGTGCTGCGAGACCCCCTGGCCCGAGCTGCAGCTGCACCTCCCTGACGCCGTCTCTCCGGTTGCAGTTGTGATGGTGAACGGAGACCACCGGATAGGGATCTTTGCCAAGAGGGCCATCCAGGCGGGAGAGGAGCTCTTCTTCGATTACAGGTGCCTCGGGGAGCGGCCGGCTGGGGACTGGGGTGCAGGGTTGGCCCCGCTTTTCTGTGCACACGTTTGTGGGGAGCGTGGGAGGTCATTACAGCAGCCGTGACTTTCCTGTCTTGTAGGTACAGCCAGGCAGACGCCCTGAAGTACGTCGGCATAGAGAGGGAGACTGATATCATCTAGGCTGTGTGCGGGGCGGCCCCCAGCACACCTTGCTGCTGCACCTTGTAAGCAATGCCATGTTTGCTTCACGCTGACATGACTGCTGCTGTTCCCGTCGCTGTGTGTGTCACAAGTGCTACTTTCCATCCAGACGCCCAGAGAGAGACTCGGGGCAGGAGTGTGAGCGGCTGCTGCCGGGGTGGCAGCTTTGCCGGCCCTGGGCTGGGGCAGGCTCTGGAGCCTGGCTCTGCGGGCGGTCTCCGGGGCTGGAGGGAGCCCGTGGACCAAGGCAGCTGAGGCTTGAAGAAAAGCTGTGGTGCAGGAGGAGGGACAGCCGCGACTTCTCAGTCTCTTTCCATTTTCTGGTGACTGCTGAAAGAACAAGAGCGAGGGAGGTACCACCTGCGCCGAGACCCAGGGCACGGTGGGGTGGACAGAGGGGCTGGTTGCTCCCCTTCAGCCCTGTCCCTTGGGATCGCCTCTGTTCTCGGGTGCTACCTCTTGCTGCCTGTTTTGTCCTGTTGACGGGGACAGTGACGGGGTTGGAAGCCATAGGGACGTGGCCACAGCGGTCCCTGCACCCAGGCTGCTGTTGCTGGGGCTGTTTCCCTTCTGCCCCAGCTGGCTGGGGGACAGAGACTGCCTGGCCGTGGTTGGTGTGGCGCGATGCCTGGGGATGGGGAGGGCAGCACTATGCAAAAAGTCACTTTGGGTAGGGATGCCACTGAGCTGGTTAGAGACAGTGTTAGGGGGGTGCTGCTGCAAGCACAGGAGGAGTCCAGAGGCAGCAGCAACCCCTGGGCCCTTCCAGCCCGCGGCGCTTTCTTGTGGCTGTGGGGTGAGTGGTTGGCTCGTGCCCGTCCCCAGCTGCGCTGGCCCTTCTGGGGCTGGGGGGGGGATGCTTTGGGGCTGGGGGGGGGGGGTCCCACTGAGCGGCTGGGGCTGCGCCCTGGGCAGGGGACGGGCCTCAGCCCCCCTCAGCCCTTCCCGACCAGGCGCTACTGGAGCTGGTGCCTCCACCTCCTCTGTCAGGACGGTCCCTTTTGGAATGGCCCGGGCTCTGGGGGGGGTGTTGGGGCACTTCAGGAGCCAGCAGAGCGGGTCCCCTTGGGGCAAGCGCCTTTCCTTGCACAGGACTTGCTGAATGTTGCTGTGCTGAGGTTTGAACGGGGTGCAGCAGACCTGCCCCTGCCTGTGGGGACCTGGGGAAGGCTGCTCAGACACCCGACACGGGTCCTGGCCCTGGGGACGGAGGGGAAATGTTCTCTGGCAGGGTGAGGTTTGGCCTTAGCACTCCATGCAAAAAGAAAAAGAAAAAAGCACTTTAATCCTTCTCAGCCGGCAGCTGGGGGCGGAGGGACCACAGAGATCCCAGAAGGTTGTTGTCCCTCAGCAGCATCTTTGCAGGGACTTTGCTCTGGGTCTGGGATGGGGCAGTCTGGGTGGGGGGATCCTCCCTGAGCGGGGCCTGGGGAGACCTGAGGGACGGGGCTGTGCCCTAGGAGCCACAGGCGCTGCTGCCGCCTGCCCGGCCTGATGCTGGGTGCCAGAGGGTGCTGGGCCGGGCGCCCAGCACTGGGCTCCTGGGATGGCAGGAGGACCCCGGCTGAGCCCTGACATGGCACCGAGGGGCCTGGGGCCCCTCAGCCCCCCAAAGAGGGGCAGGGGTTGTCGGGGGGCACTGCACAGAGGGGAACAGCGCTGGGGCCCTTGCCCTGCTCTTTGGGGACCCGTGGGGCTCCCAAGCGCAGCCCCGTCCCAGCCCTGTGGTCTCCAAAGGCAGAATGATGCTGGGTCTGCCCCGGGAGCTGAGCCCTCCCTGGCACAGCCCTGCGCCGTGCCTTTCCCCGCCTCCCGCCGTGGCAGGGGAGGCTGTCGGTCCGTCCTTCCTGCTGTCCGTGATGCCCTCCTGAGGCACGGAGGGGTTGGGGTCTGTCTGGAGCAGCGCTTGTACCCTGGCACCTGCCTGAGCCCCGCTCCCTGCTGCCTCCACCTGCCCAGCTCACCCCGACCCTGCTCTCAGCTCAGCATTCTCTGCCCCTTTGGCCATATCTGCACTACGCCAGGCTTGTGTCTGTGGTTTGTTAATGGTGAATAATAATGCACTTTAAAAATAACGTGGCTTGTAGCCTTTGTCATAATAAAGTGGTAGCCAACACCCTCCCACAGCTTGCTGGTCTCTGTGACCCGAGGGAGCCGCTGGCAGTGGCCCGGTCCCTGCCTGGGCTCAGCCCAGTGCCCCCGGCTGCCCCAACCGGCACCGTCCTGGGGCTGGGAGGTGGGTGGTGGGGAGAGCAGGAGCTGCTTGGGTGGGTGCGAGTGCAGCAGGGGCCTGAGCTGCATCGTCCTCCCCCCTCTCTCCATCCTGCATCCCGCTCCGGGAGGGGGAATGGCCGTTGTCTGCGCCGGTGCGGAGGGGAGAGCTGCCCCCGCGCAGCCGCAGTGAGTCTGGGGAGTGTCAAACGCCGTCGTTCTGCCTTTATTTGAGTATCTTCACATCTCATTCAACGAAACAGGTTTTTTAAAAATAAAGTGCCCAGTGGAGCTAGGCCTTTGGATAGATAAATGCATTTCTGTAACATTGTCTTACCACAGTACAGCGAGTGAACAGGAGCTTTCCCTGGGCTGGAGGTAATCGGCAGGACCGGCACTTCGTACAGAGAAGTAGCAAACTACAGACCACGTACCACGACACGCGGAACGTAACACCTGACAGGAGCTTCCGTTTGGTTTTTTATACAAACCGATAGAATAAAAAAACCAGAGTGTGGTAGAATATCCAGCAACAAAAATGGTAGAAAGGATCCGTACCTGATTGTATGAAAGCAGCATCTCAGCAAAGTGCGGTGGCCTCATGCGCGGCGGCCGGTGCCGCACGGGCAGGGTATTGCTCGGCGCGCCCCGGGCCGTGCCCCGGGGCTGGCTAGTGCGTGGCTTCCTTCGTGGCTCTGGCGAAGTGAGCGAAGCAGCGGGAGGTCTACGCGTGGGCATCGCTAACGGGGCGGCACGGCCGGGCGCAGCCGGCGCGCTCCCCTGGGGCAGGGAGGGGGGGCTGCCCGGCCCGGGGGGGCCGCCCGCCGGGGCCAGGGCAGGATTTGGCAGCTGGTGGGAGGCAGCGCGGGGGGCTGCCGGCGTGCCCGGGGCTCGGTGGGTCGCGGCCGCACTCCGGGGCCGAGTCGGTGGTGGCCGCGGGGACGAGCCGGCGGTCGGTGCGGTGCGGTCGGGTCCGGAGGCGGGTGTTGGCAGTTCAGGTGTGCTCGGCCCTTTGGTCCCGCAAGGCTTGCTCATCTCCCCGCGGCTCCCAGGGCTGCGGGGGCTGCGAGCCCGTCCCACCCCCCCGGCCCCACTAGTCCCCTTTCGCCTCCTCCAGGATCTGGGGCAGGTTCTGGTCCTTGCGCGCCGACGGCGGTTTGGCGGCGCTGCCGTAGTCCTGGATGGCCTTGGGCTCGTTGGTGTGGTAGGAGCCCTTGTAGCGGTGGTAGTAGAAGTACAGCAGCACCAGCAGCCCCCCGAGCAGCAGGAGCAGGAAGGTCACGACTGGTGGGGGAGAGGTGGTGGTGAGGGGCTGGGATGGGGCTGGGGGGGCACAGGGCCAGGGCAGAGGTTTTGGGGACACCGGCCGGGCGCTTCACTTACACCCGATGATGAACCCGATCCAGCCGTCGTCGTGCACGTGGGGGAACTCTGTGGAGACAGTGGGCAGCTGAGGCCAGGCTGCATCAGGGTCTTGAGCTGGAGCATCCCCCCTGCAGCTGATGCTTGCCGGGGGGCTCCCTCCCCGCCCCTGGGGTCCCCCGACGGCACCTACCTGTGCCCATGTACCAGGGGTCCATCTCAGGAGGGATGAGGATGGTGGTGAGGGGGAGCATGGAGGCACAGCTCGACTCCACCAGCTCCCCCCGGATGCTGTAGGGCCGCACGACGCTGGTGGGGCGGAAGATGGCTTTGAGGGGGACGAGGCTGTTAAACTTCACCCCCGAGAGGCAGCCTGAGAAGCCGGGCGTGTTGTAGCGCTGGATCTCGGGGTCGATCACACCGGTCTCTGTGGGGGCACAGAAGGAGAAGGCTCATCCCCCGCGGAGGGCGAGGAGCGTGCTGGGCAGAGGAGACCCCGGAGATCCCAGCATGAGAGGGGGTGGCCGAGGGCAGGACCCAGCTCACCCATCACACGCCCCAGGTACAGGTTTTTGGGCGAGTCCAGCTTGCTGTCCACAAACAGGGAGAACTGTTGCTCCAGGACGGGGAGATAGTCCACCTGGGGGGCGGGCGCACAGTGTCAGCACCCGCTGAGCCTCCTCCGCTTCCTGCCACCCTGCCTGTGCCCCCCCGCGGCCCCCCAGGCCCCGCACCTGGGTGTAGAGCGTGCGATGCAGGCGGGTGATGTTGACGCGGTGGGGCCTCCCGTCCGTCACCGGTTTGGTGGTGAGGGCGAAGACGTAGGGGCTGGTGCCCAGCTGGTAGCGCAGCTGCAGGCTCCCTGCGGGCAGAGCAGGGCTGTCAGCGGGGTCCGGGGCTCTCGGTGGGCGAGTCCAGCCCCCTCCCCATAGGGCTGGTGACTGGCAGCGGTGGGAGAAGGGTCCCGTGTGACCCCGCAGGCTCTGGGCCAGCCCCAGCGCAGGAAGCCCTGCCCTCACCGTCATCCTTGATGAGCACGGCCATGTAGTCCTTGACGAAGGAGCTGACGTAGAGCAGCACGGCGGGCGCCGAGGTGGTGCTGAAGCTGAAGCTGACCTCCTCGCTGGTGAGGTTGTAGCCAGGCAGGGGCTGCCAGGGGCTGCTGACGATGCTGGCGAACTCGCGGGCGGCATACAGTGACACCGGCAGGATGTTGTACCGCACCCAGGTGCCCTCCTCGAAGTACCCGCCGATGTCTGTGCAGGGGGGACCCACGGGGTGACAGGGGCACCGGCTCCTCTCCCCCATCCCAGTCACCGGGAGGGCCCCCACCCTCAGCGCGGCGGGCGCAGCCCCTCACCGTGGTTGCAGAAGGGCCCGTCGAAGGCGGAGACGCTGCAGTTGCAGCTGTAGTGGCTGTAGCGCTCGACGCAGAGCCCGCTGTTCTGGCAGGGCACGGGGGGGTCCTGGCAGTGGCCGGTGCAGTTGACCCGCACGCCCTCGGTCTCGTTGGCCTTGCCCTCCAAGTTGAGCGTCACCCCGTTCATCCGCAGCGCCCGCAGGCACCCCAGGAACGGGCGCATCTTGTGCTCCGCGGCTCCTGCAGCGGGGCCGAGACTCAGCGCCCTGCGGCGCGCTGGACCCGGGGGCGCGGGGCCGCGGCCGGGGGCTCTCACCGACATAGAGGGGCCTGTCGAAGTCCAGGCGGACGAAGCTCTGCGGGGGGGCCGGCCGCACCACCCAGGGCAGCTTGTCCACCCGCAGCCGCGCCAGCTTGACGTTGAGCTCGGCCTTGACCTGGTGCCACTCGTCGTCGTTCCAGGGCACCACCGACCGCACCGTCAGGTTCTCGTCCCCGTTCCCGATGTCGTAGGCAAACACCACGTCCCTGGTGGCTGCAGGGACAGGGTGTCGGGAGAAGCCCCTGGCCCCACCGCCCCCCACGCCCCCGCATCCCCCGCCCGCCCATACTGTTGAGCTCAATGCGGATGTAGTTTCGGGAGCCAGGGTTCTCCAGGAAGACCCCAGATAAGGCGGTGGTCTTGAAGTAGAAGGAGATGTCGAGGCTGTGGTTGGCCTGGAAGGTGGGGAAGAGCAGGGCTGCGCCCCTGTTGAAGGAGACCGTGTTCCAGGTGTTGCCTGTGGGGAGCAGGAGGGGCGGTGAGGGATGGGCGCGGACCCTCCGCAGGGGCGATACCCCATGGGCAGGGGCCCCCTGCACGCAGGGGACCCTCCGCAGATCCGATCACTCACGGTCTCCGTAGCACCGCAGGGGCCCCAGCAGGAACTGGGCTTCAGAGCCGGAGCGGTTGGTGTCTCCGACCACAACCTGGGTGACGGGCAGGTGGTCCACGAAGGTCAGCAGACCCTTGTCTGTCCTCCTGCAAACGGAGGGGCCGTGAGCGTCTTCTGCCCCTTTGCCAGCCCGCGCCCCTGCTGAGCCCCCCCGCATCCGTGCCCGCAGCTGCGGCTCACCACAGCGCGTGGTCGGCGTCGCAGTTGCAGAAGTACTTGGGGTCGGCGCAGTTCTTGTCCAGCCCGCAGGCGCAGCGCTGGATGCCCGGCCGCGAGCCCCCCCAGTAGTAGTGCCGCTCGTTGTGCCGGCCCATCCAGAAGCTGAAGGGCAGCCCGGCTGCGGGCACAGGGCAGGGTAAGGACATGGTCCCACAGTACAGCCCCACGGCACGGCCCCACGGCACGGCCCCACTCCCCCCCAGCGCTCACAGGGGGTGTTGAGCAGGCGGGAGCTGTAGCAGTGGAGCTCGATGCGCTGCTCACAGTACTCGGAGGCGTTTGCCAGCGCCGAGACCTCAGCCCAGGAGGCGTTCCAGTACTCCACAGCCCCCAGGTAGGGCTGGTCCACGCTGGAGCCCGTCACCCGCGTGGCGTAGTGGCGGTTGTGCCGGATGATGGTCCAAGCTCGGTCCTCTGTGGAGGTGGGGGCGGCTGTTAGGACTGGTCCCCTGGGACAGCCCTGCTCCCTCCATCCTGCGCCGGCCCCGATACACAGACAGGTCTGGTCCCTGGGGGCACGGGGCAGAGGGACCCCCAGGCCCTCCCGCTGCCCCCACCTCGGATATCGCAATACACCGTGAAGGGCTTGAGTGGCCCGCTGCCATCCGGGTCGATGGTGTAGTTCCCCGAGGTTTTCCCGCTGACTCGGTAAGCATCGCATGATTCCTTGTAAAGGGCTGCAAGAGGGAAAGGGGGCTGGGGTCAGTGCGAGGAGCTGCAGGTGCCCATCCTGCCCCCCCATTCCACTGGGCCCCAGGCTCACATTTGTGGCAGGTCTCCCCCTTGTACCCCGTCAGGTCGCAGATGCACATGAAGTCGTCCCAGGACTGGACGCAGCGGCTGTCGTGCTCGCACAGGTTGGGGGTGCACCTGAGGGCGCAGAGGGCTCCTGTCCCGGCACCGGCAGAGCCCCCCGGCCCCCATCCACTCCCGGGCGGTGCCCCTGTCCCGAGCGATACCTGTCCGTGATGCCGCAGACATTGAAGAGCACGTTGAAGTACTGTCCCAGCCGGTGCTGCACCAGCAGCTCCACGTCCAC